ATAAAATTGTAAAAAGGGGTCAGAATCAGGGTAGTCCCTCAGGCCTCAGGAGTTTGGGGGTGGGGTAGGGGTAGGGGGATAAGGCAGGGACAGAGGGACAGCAGGCAGGAGAAATGAGGGAAAGGCCCTCAGAGAGGCAGCCATAGGGGTTGGTCATCTCAGTGACCCTGAGCCCCTCCCAAAGCTGATCCAAGCCTCACCTTGCACCTGGGCAAAGGGTGCGGGGACCTGGTAGGGAAGCCCAGGCAAAGAGTTCTTGGGTGATATACCTGTCACATGTTGGGGGACAGGCTGAGACTCACTTCTGGTCAACAGTGGGGCTCGGGGAACTGGACCCAGGGGTGCTGACTTAAACATTTTTTTAATTATGATAAAATATACATAATATTCTCCATCTTAACAATTTTTAGGTGTACAGTTCAGTAGCACTGGGAATATTTGCAGTGTCATACAACCCCCCCATCTGTCTCTAGAACTCTTCATTTAGCAAAACTGAAAATCTGTACCTGTTAAACAATAGGGGTCCTGACTTTTGTGGGGAACCTTTCCCTCACACTCACCCCTCCAAGGTTCCAGCCTTGTGAAGTTGCAGGAGGGCAGGGTCAGGAAGGCAGCCTGATTCCCTGGCCTTCCACGGCAACCATGGGTACCTGCCTGATGCTTTCTCTTCATTGGTCCAGAGGGTGTTGAAATGATTCTGGCCCCTGAGGCCCCTAGCTCTGGGATGCTGCAGATCCTGGCGGCTCAGGAGAGGAACGCTGGCATCTATGCCTGCCGAGCTGTCGATGAGTTGGGCGACACCTTGGCGGATGTCTGGCTGGAAGTTGGACTTGAGTGTACACCTTGTCCCCACCTGCCACCCCTCCCTACCACCTGCCCTACCCCTGAGCAGGGAAGAGAGAACGTAGCCACGTAGCCTGCCAGTGGGGAATCTGCATCATATAGATACAGAGTATGTGGGACAGGGGCTTCAGAGGGAGATGGCATATGCGTTCCCTCTTGCTGGGTAACAAATTGCCCCCCCAAACTTTGTGGCTTAAAGCAATAAGCATTTCTTATCTCACAGTTCTGGAGGGTTAGGATTCTTGGAGTGGCTTAGCTGGCTGGTTCTGGCCTCAGGGCCTCTCTTGGGATGGCCATTAATACATTGGACAGGACTTTGATCATTTGAAGGCTCAACCAGGGCTGGAAGATCCACTATAAGTTCACTCATGTGGCTGTTGGCAGCAGGCCTCCATTCCTTACCCATATGGGCTTCTCCAGAAGGTTTCTTGTGACATGGATTTTCCCAGAGGGAGTGAGTCGAGAGAGATAGAGATGGAGAGGATCCAAGATGGAAGCAATAGTCTTTATAACCAGTCATGGTCTTGGAAGTGACATACCATCACTCCTACCATATTCTCTTGGTCACACAGACCAACCCTGGTACAAGGTGGGTGGGAGGGACCACTCAAGTGTGTGAATACCAGGAGGCAAGTGTCACTGGGGCCATTTGGAGGCTGCCTACCACAGAAACAGTTTGGTTCAACTTGAGCATGGTCATCCCCAAGACCTGAGGTCCAGTCTTGTCTCCATCACTTACCATCTATGGGCTTTGGTGAAGTCATTGACCCTCTGTTTCCTCATCTGTAAAATGGAGCTGACCACATTACTTCTTTTACTGGGTTGTTGTGAGGGTTCAGTGAAATCAGGCATTAAATGCTTAGCACAGGATTTGGCCCATCATGAGTGCTTAATAAATGGAGAAGCAGTTACCCCCTTTTTACAGACGAGGAGGAGGCTGGAGTCTTCTGTGGCTGTACATGGACTTGGCTGTGATTGTCATGATGTCTAAGCTCCAGGCCTAGATCCTGGGCACTGGGATCTGCTGAGATCTGCTCAGAAGCTGTGGGCATGGCTCCTTGGCATGCTGAACCAGAGCGGATTGGGCTCTGAGGGTTGGCTGTGGCCACAATGGGAGAGACAGGTGTTAGAAATTCTGGGCAAGTGCAGAGAATGGACAATGTTGTTAACTGGGCTGGGTGGGATGTCCAAGGGGCTCCCCACAGAGGCTCAATCAGGAGGGTCTGGCCCTGGGGGATATGGTGCCATCTCAGGGTTGGGATCCTCTCAACCTTGGGGTACCCTTAGCCTTCATTCATCTCCATCATTTATTCCTCTGACACATGGTCACCAAGTGGCCAGGCCCTGTACCCAGTGCCCAGTCCTGGGTTCAATCCCTGATACCTCCATTAAAAATTTTTAAAAAAAGAAAAGAAAAGAGATGGTAAATAGACAATTAGAATATTCAGTGTATCGAGCATTTAGAAGTAGCATTCTC